TAATATTGTTCATTTAGGGCAGTTTTAGTAATTGTGGAAAATCTTTTTGGCTGAGACATACTGTAAATAGATTTCAGGGTAGGGTGGAAGTTGGTTGATCGGGGTGTGGAGGGTTGAAGAAAGTTCCCCAAGTCCAACCTTGTGAACTCACATGTACAATGCCTTCTTCCTTTCTTCCAGTTTGAACAGGAGAACCAGAGACTCGTTGGTGAAATGAACAACCTCTTTGATGAAGTCAGGTAAGATGTTTTGGTTACTTGATGGATTGCTGCATGTGGTCCCATCCACAGCCTGCCCAACACCCACACATGGTGGCTTTGCTGCAGGACACTTGCCTGTGTGGACCGCCGTGGTGTGGGAGGAGCAGGGATGAAGCAGGAGCACCCAGGGATGAACCATATGAGTTCACACACTGTGCTGTGTCACAGCGTAAAGAATAGTTCTGAGTGACACAAACGAGCCATCGTTGTAGTGGTTAAATTTGGAATTGTGTTCTGTCTCCTGTATCTAAGTTTTTAAAGCTGAAGTTTTCCATTCTGACCACGCTGTCTGCTGCACACACAGACAGCAGTGGGGAGCTGCAGCCACGGGCCCCTCCTTTCTAATGCGCTGGTTGCTAATGGAGTGTTTCTGTTCTTTGCCAAGGCAAATTGAAGGAAAAGTGGTGGAAATATCCAGATTACAAGAGATATTCACTGAAAAAGTCTTGCAACAGGTCAGTATAATTTAATACTACAGCAGCACATACAGCTTTAAAATTTTCATGGGGGTATTTTGGTCTTGGTTCCATGCAGGATTTAAGCATAAGATTAATGAATCTCTTGACACAGATGTGAAAGAGAAGACTTTTGGTTGTTTTTCAAATGCAAAATCAAGACATTTGTTACTTATCATTATGTACTGGGAAGGGAAAATGCAGCTTATGTGTTAGAATAATTGCTCTGACTCAGAATGTGTCCTGTTAAATCTGTTACTTTATGGCATTTTTTCTGGAAATGGTGGTACGTCATCCAAAAGAGCTGGCAAAAATTAATACAGGTTAGATTTGATTCTAGATAAACAGGATACTGCCTTTTGCTTGTGTTAGTCTCCATTCAGACTCATAAAATCACAGGTAAAGAAATGACAACTTACTTTATACCTTTGCATCATTGAAACCAATATGTTAATAATACTAAATTTTGAGTTCTACTTGTTTCCTAAGTCCTTGGAAGTATTTTTATCTAACATTCATCACTGTTTCTAAACTTTTTTAACAGGAAGCTGATATTGACAATATCCATCAATTAGTTGTGGGTGCAACAGAGAACATCAAAGAAGGCAATGAAGACATAAGAGAGGTAACATCTCCAAGTTGTGTTTAAATTAATTTGTTTCTTTTAACTTTCAGTTTTGCCCAAGTGTTGCTTTAAGCAGGACACGTGAGCTCACCCACAGTGCGGGTGCAGTACGTGTTGGGGTGCCAGGGCATGATTTTGGGCAACCTGTACAGGTTAGCTGAGGTTCCAGCAGGCAGCATTGCTTGTCTCCTAACCAGGACTGAATAGCTGCTGCATGGGTCTGCAGGAATCTGCTTGGCCTCACCTGGTTTTTAAACGTGAAGCTCACCTGTTATCTAGTTAAGCACCTGTGAAGTTTGTTTAAAGACAAAACCAAACCACAGTGCTGGAATTGTGGAAAGGGGAAGTTCAATGCTGGGCACTGGCAGAGGAGTCTCTTTACCATGCTGACCACATCTGATGTGCTCCTAGCAAACAGAGCTACCCCACTCTCTTACTGATTAGAATGAAATGAGGCTTTCTTTCAGGAACTGAGATTTCAATAAAAAAGAGTTCCTAAATTAAGGTACTGAGTAAATGGCTCACTTCTTGGTGGTTTTTTTTTCCCTCCCTCCTGAAAGCACACAGAATATGTAACTCAAAGATGAGTTTCCTCCTGCTCAGTTCTCCTGAAAAGTGCATCAAACATGGCATGAGCTGGTTATTTTTGCTTCATTTTTCATGTTTTTAAGTAGAACAAAGTTTCCTGAACCACGCTGAGGAACGGTAGAGAAAGGTGGCAAGTACAAAACTTTGTCACTCACATTCATTTTTGTATCACATGAGAAAATCTACTCCCTGTGTAAATCTGAAGAACAGGTCCCCCACTATATGCTGGTCTCGATTTCGGGAGGGAGAATGCAGGAGAAATATTTGCCCCTTGCTGAGACTGAAATGCGTGACTGACAGTGCTAAATCAACTTCCAGAAATAGCTTTAATTTTTGGTTCTAATATTTTAGTTAGAAGATGTTTATTAGAGTGTGACAAAAGCTTGCTAATTTCTAATCACAGAATTTAACCTTGGGAACTTAAAACCAAACCCTTCAGCAGGTACATTTGGATGTAGTTCTTCATGTTTTAAACGTATTCCCATTGTGTGGGATCTTGAGATTTTTTTTTTTTTTCTTGTAAATGACTGATTTTGAAATTTTGAGAGAAACTGAAGTGTGATAAATCTAAGGAGGCATAGCCAACCTGACTTTTATTCACCTGAAATTAATGGCAAGTTTTGTTCTTTCTCTTGTGGGAGGGGAGGAAGAGTGCAGTCACTAGCAGTCAGCCCAGGCTGCCATTGCTGAAATTATACTGTGCATTTACTGGTGATGGTAATGGGAGATAACCTTTTCCACACAGGCCATCAAAAACAATGCTGGATTTAGAGTATGGATCCTCTTCTTCCTTGTGATGTGTTCATTCTCCTTGCTTTTCCTGGACTGGTATGATAATTAAAAATACAATTTTGTCCACATGCTTTGTAAAATCTTTCCAGTGTTTTTCAGTGGAGCAGGATGTATGACATACATGCATATTTAATGCATTTTTTTTTTGTACCGCTATGATGGAAATATCTTCCAATAAAGAGGCACGTGTATATATCTGTTAGTGCAGAGGGAGCCAGCAGCATTCATCTGAAACCCCTTCATCGAACATAAGCCCCCACTTAATCCCACACGGACCCTAGAAACCTCTGAAGGAGCGGGTAGGGGAGCTCCAAGCTGGAGCACAGCTGACAGCAGGGAGAGCTGCCGCAGCGGTTGTATCGTCGCCGCCCACACCTCTGTGATGTGTAACGCCCAGCTCCCCCTGCACACCAGATCAGGAGAAAACTGGCACTGTGCAAAAGCATCTACACTGTCTCAGGCTTTTATTTAATCATACCACTTCAGTACATAGCAATCGTTTTGCACACGTATGACCTCTACTTCTAATCCCTTGAAACTACTCCAGTCAGAGATCAGGTTGATTTAATAGTAATAATAACGATGGTAAGAAGTCAGCTAAGGAGCTTTAATTCTGGGTGAAAACAGAGAATACAACACAGATTATGCGGTGGAACAGATGTGTTCTGGGATGTCGGAACAAAGCCAAAGGATAGACAATATTAAAGGCAAATTCTTCAAAGTACTAAAACTGAGAGCAATCTGTTAACAACAACAACAAAAAAAGTCTCAAAACCAACTGTATTTAAGAATGAATAAACTCCCTCCTGCTCAATCAGAGGAAGAAATGGGTTTGACTTCAAGAAGCATAAGCAATCTGCTTCTTCTAGATCGTAAAGCTTTGTATTTTTAATGTTTATTGTTACGAGAGAGATATCTTTTTTTTTCCTCGGTTTTTACTGTTCTAAATTTAAGGGGGGGGGAAATGTATCAGGAATCATTTCTATGTAGGACAGTCTTGGGGAGCAGATCTTTCCATCTTGTAAAATCTGAATGGCCCCTGTAAATACGTTGATATGAAATGTGTGTTTTGGCATCTCTCTTCTGAAATGTGCGTTCTACGTGATGTGCAACAAGCAGCAGCAGCAGCCTTGCTCTTTACTCTGCTCAGAGTGAAAATGTCAAAAGTTATATGTGCATTAACTACACTCAGTAAAGCATCTGCCTGTGAGACAATGTAAACATGGTCTGGTTTGAATATCTTAACATAACCTTGAAAATTTTCAATGCAAAGAAAAATTTGGCACACAATTTATTGCTTTTTAAGCATTCTCCATACCATAATGATTTAATAAAAAGCCTTTTGCAGATATACTGTGTAATGCACACTTTGTATCAAACCTAGAGAATTAAGCAGTAATGGTCCTTTTTACTGTCTTGGTAAGAAAGGTGGTTGATAAAGCAATTCTGCTGCAGAAAAACAGAAGGAGAGCTGACCATGTCTGTCCTACTAAGATCTTGAGACATGGCCCATGCTTATGTTCTCCCTTCATTTTTGATAGCTTATTAAAAATAAAAGCCACCAAAAAACTTTTGACATGTCCACTACTTGTTCCAGTCAAGTTACATAAACAAAAACATGACTTGCTTGCTTAGATGCTTCACACACTTTATCTGTTAATGTCTTTTTTGTAAGATGTATTTAAGATTTATAATAAAAATGAAAACATGGTTTCACACAAAGAATAGAGAAGTTTGTAATTACAATGGAACTTTAACGTGCATCCACAATATTATGTCCTTCTACGTCTTTTCCCCTCCCAAGCCATACACAAACAGTTCTACTCTTCACTCTGTCTCACACGTGCTGTGTTACCTAGTATGCTATGGTTTTGCTTCTGATGCTTGGTGTGTTTTAAAGAGTTTGACAGAACTGCAAACCATACATAAAACTGAAAGCTCTGTGTAGCTAATACAAGGGGGGAAATGTTAATGTAATAAGAGAAAATTTAGACATAACTACTCCCTCAGTTGCATCCAACAAATGACATAGTGGACTACCTCTACTGTGAGGAGGCTTTCTGCCTGTTAAGTATGATAGGAAGATGTCATTTCTCATTACAACATCCCAAACTGTCTATTGTTTACACTATCCTCAACATCCATCGCTACAACCATCTGTGTTTTGCCATAATGTCTACCTAGTTTGTGTTTCAGTGCATATCCTCACCAAGATGCTAAAGCCACAGTGGAAATGCAGTTAGATCCTGCTGACAGCAATAATAAAACATTGAGCATGCCTTGTTGCAGAGAACTTCATTATCACAAATAGAGAGCAGTAAAGGAAAGGTAAGAAAACGGCTCCCTGACAGTTCCACTCTCCCCGCGAGTCGCTGGGTGCATGGCGCCCGTGACGCCGATGCCCGCTGCCGTTCTCGCTTCAGCCAAAACAAAATGTTAATACAGCTTTCAGCTAAACGAGAGATCACTCCAGTTATGGCTGGGATGTTTCAGTTTGCAAAAGGACAAAGAATAAAAACTGTTACTAAATAAGTATCGGTTCAGACAACAGAACGCGTGATTTATCTAAGGTCCGAGCCCTGAAAACCCAGAAGAAGTCTGTCAGAGTCCAATGAACTGCAAGAACGTATCTAACATTGGATTTATTTTAACATTGAAAATGGTGTCAAAGCTCTAAAGCAATGCTGATATGCACCTCGGTTTACACCCATCAATGTTCTGCAGCAAGTTTTTGGGTTTGGGGGTTGTTTTTTCTTTTATTTTTGCGAAGCAGTATCAGCAAACAGAAGCAACTGCACCATAAACATGAGTAACCTCTAAATTATCCATAATTATATTTAATGAAAAGTTCCTTCAAGTCCCTTAAGTTACCTTCAAATGACATAGTGTTTATAATTAGCTTATCCTACTAAGCTGATTTCTCAGCAGCTTCAGTCTCCTGCTCAGAGAGCTTCTCTTCTGACAGCACCGTCATCCAGGGGGACACGGAGCGCGTGATGGTTTGTTTGGCCAGGTTGTAGTGGTTTATGACTGTGTAAAACTTCCCTCGAGCGCTGGAGTCTTGTTCAGAGTAGTAGTTTTCCAACCCAGCTGGAATGCATTGATTGTTCTGAAAAGCAAAATCCGTCACTCGGATTAGAGATTGAGCCACACACACACCAAAAGTAGGTTAGGGTTTGGGTTTTTTGCTTTTAGCCAACGTTCGGTTTCTCTGAGTCAAGATGCCACCACATAGAGCAATTAACTACATTGTTGTCCTACTCTGTTCAAAATATTCTTCCCTGCAATCCTTAAACTACTTGTGGGTTTGCCAAGGAGGCCAATCTGGGTTTATACACCAGGATAATTAACATACAAGAAACACACCTGCCTAGAATTATTTTTACAGGTACTGAATCTTTAGTTCCAGACATATTTTGCTACTTTTAAAAAGCTTTTTTCAGCTGTGGGACTACATTATTTCATCTCCCAGAAGTGTAAGAGCACTACACAGAAACTGCTAGATGCTTGGGGCTTTTAGAAGTGAAATACCTGATTTAGAGAGTTTAATAGCAGGAGCCAAACTTTGCTGTTATCTTAAAAGCTAAAGAGAACGTGCAATTTTAATGCACTGGTCAGCAATATCACCCAGCCACTGTCCCAGAGATGGTGCAGTAGAAGCCTACAGAGCAGCTGGTTGTGCTGAAGGAAAAAATGACTTGGATGTATCCCGTGATCCAGCTCACCACACTCTGCTCCAGAGGCTGAGGGGTCTCTCTGCAGGTTCTCTGCCACTCCAGGCAGTCTTGCTTCATATCTCAGAGTGTTGGGCAACTGAATTGACCCTCTAAAATATAAGCTATGAGTAGTTGCAGCTTGAATAAAAATAAGTTTAATCATTTTTATTCTTAATTGTTTTAAAAAATAAGATTGGCTGTTCAGTCTTCTTGCTTCCAGCACCAGAAGACTAAAATCTATAATGCTACTGTACAGCAACTTTGAACTGCTGCTGTTCTTACAGAACTTCACAAACAAAACTGAGTATTGGAGGTTTCTGAGCACAAAACCACATGCAAAAATATAATGGATTTTAGAACCAGATGCTATCTCAAATGTGTCCACATTCACTTGTAGGTTAACGCTTCTTATCAGAAATGGGAAAAAAAAAAAGTGGCATAAATAAGCACCACTAGCAACAGTTCTAAATGGTTTAAATCATCAAGCACAAAATGCTTGGGGCAAGATCCAACAGTCTTGGCTTAACATAAATTTTGCATCTTAAAAATGTTAGTGTGAAAAACACGATCAAAAGGTACGAAAGAAAAAAGGAAGACTTGCCAAAACAAGCGGCCTGCAGGTCATCATGAACATGCCTGCTGCCCCAGAACAGCCTGCTGTTCTGGCAGGTCTGCCTGCTGAAGGAAGAGTGGCTGCCACAAGACCAGCATCCCTCCCACTGCATTAACACCTCACCCTCCCCAGCCTGCTGCTGGGAGGGGCGCTGGGATGTGTCAGACTGGGGACCTGCTGCTACCACATCCACCCAAGGCCCCTGCAGCTCTTACCTGCTGTCAGTGCAGTTAACCCCTCAGTTTTGTTTGAAGTAGCACCTCAAAGCAGATGGGATTTAACCCTGCCTAAGCAGACAGTTGTGCCTATTCAGCACTTGCGTAAGTCAGCTAAGGCTTCCCTGTGGTTGGTCATCATCATTTATGCCAGCTGCAAGACTGGGACCTAAATTTTAAAGAAACAAACCCAGGTATCTGGAATAGAGCTATCTGATATGCATGTTCACCTGCATCGACCACAGCATCTTCTGGGATAACTGTACCTCTGCTATCTGGGGTAACTGACACTACTTCTGATGTGACGGAATGACTAAGAAGTACGTAGACAGACATCTTTGTAGTGATTATTTCACCCAGTCATGGGATGTAGTCACAACGCTAAGTATTTAAAATGGGGGAAGGAACACAATCCATTGATCTAATGAAATCTGCCAAGGAAATTCAAGCAAAGGTAATTATTAGTGCTGAAGACAAGCCAAGATTCCTGCCAGTCTGAAAAAAAGGCACAGAATCTTGTGCTGCTTTTAGAAGCAATTTGCTTTGTAATAGGAAAAATGATTCAGTAATGTTATTTTTTGGAGTCACAAGCATGCACAACATCTGACAGAAGAGCCTAAGGAAACACACAGCAGAGTTTCCATCTTGACTGCATTTTTGCTCCTGGGATTTCAGGCATCTAGAAATTATGGGAAAAACTTCCCCTTCCACTCACTGCTCCCTGTGTCCTGCCCAAGGACAGCCCCTTTGCTTGGCTCCTCTTTAAGGCAAGCCATGCAGCACTTGGGAGTGACAGTGATGGGAATTGGTGCTGATTCTCCTGCTGCTGCCCGAGACCTTCAGCTTACACAGAACGTTCCTCTCCATCCTTTTTATCTGTTTCCATAGTTCCAGGTGAGAGAAGTACTAAGGAAGGATATGAGGAGAAACTGGAACACTCCAGAGTGAGTTGCCAGTTTCTTGTTTCTTTCAGAACCCTTCTATTTAAGAAACTAATTATGGGTTAAGGCCTTTGGTGGCAGGGAGAATCCTGTTTACCAGTCTACATCTGGCTGTATTAAGATGATTCCTTTTGTTCCTGTGACATAAAGACCCCGGTGTTACTCACTTAAAAACAGTGCCTGCTGTCACATTAACTTTCCTGGATCAGTAATTCCAAACCTAGGAGATGTGTTCAACACCTGGCTGGATGGGGCCTTGTGCAACCTGGTCTGGTGAGAGGTGTGCCTGCCCCTGGCAGGGGGGTTGGAACTAGATGATCTTTAAGATCCCTTCCAACCCAAAGCATTGTATGACTGTGATTTATGCATGGAAATCACCTTGTTGTACTTCCCATGGGTCTGACAGAAAGCAGGTGCCTTGGCCGTGGAAGCTAAAGGGGAACAGACGCAGTGTAGAACGTACTGAGGCCCTGGAGAAATTCCTCCAGGAAGTACACCCAGGTCTTTGAGGAGACTGGCAAGTTGCACCAGTAGCCAGTGGAGGCCACTTCACAGGAACGACCTAGGCAACAGCAGCATCAGGGCTCTGTCAGAAAACTTGGGCAAGCACAAAACTGCTATATGAAGGAAAATAAGTAGCTTTTTAAGCACACCTTCAAGCCCCGGACACATGGGGCAGCAGAAAGGCTGCAAACACCAAAATGTCTGGAACTGCTCCTGAGGCAGGGGACACCTCTGCCCTTCACCAGGAAAAAAAGCTGAAAGATGGAAAGGCAACCAATACAAATTCATGTCAACACTGCTAGTTTATCCTGTAAAACTCTGAAGAGTTACATGACCAAAGATGCCGTGTCTCCTGGCATTATGCCATCAAGCAGCTGGGAAGCAGCCCCCACAAACCCCAGCACTGGGAGACAGTAACACGAGCACAGCCTGAGCATGTGCTGCCTCTTAAAAACAAAACAGGAGCTACAGGATGTTCTGCCCTGCTTCTGTTGCACAGGGTGCCAAGGAGAGACCCAACCAGATTCTGTTCGCAGTGTAACTGAAGTACAGGTAAGGAAATGTTCTCCCTTTGGGTGTTTGTGGCACCAGGAAGTAAAGGACAAAAGCAGCCAGAAGGCTGGAACTGAAAGGAGGGGACAGCTTGGTACGAAAGGAAGCAGATGCAGCAGACTGTTGCTAGCCTGGTGACAGGAGCACATAACTCGCCATTCTTGTCAGGTCAGGCTCACATCAAGACAGGCCTGGTAGGAACATGGAATCCATACCCCAGATTGCTCAAAGCCAAGATAAAGCTATGGGGGAAAAAAAAGGCTATCATCCCATGAGACATGAGCACAGCAGGGTTTCAGTGCTTGTCTGGAATGACAAAAAACAAAGAGTGGAACCAAAAGTTTGATCTCCTGAGTTACTGCCAAACATTCTACGCTCTTTTGCCCTTGAACCAAGGGAAGCAGTAACCAAAGCCTGAACGCTGGGAGCTAATTAATCCAGCAGGGCATCGCTGATTATAACTTTGGACTAGATTCTTGTAAGATATTTATGTGCCTGAAGGGACAGAATCAAAATTCCTGAACAGGATCATCAAGGAGTGCTGAGGCAGCCGTTCCTTCTTAAATCCTTCTGAGGATCACACGTAATGAATCGAATGGGTACCTGGTGACTAAATATTCTTAAAAATTTAGAGGGAAGAATGCCATCATCACTGCTACCTTTCTTATCGAATTACAGCCAAGTTCAATCCTAGTAAATATACAACTGAGAAATCAATCTGACTTTCAGCCCCGGCCGTAGCTGAAGAGCCAGCACCACCATCTTGCAGAGGTGAGGTGAGCCCCAGCCTCCCTTTTGCTTAGCACCACTACTTTTTCCAATAATTGTGTTTTCTCTTTTTTGGCATCGCTTCGGGCCTGTGGCAGTAGGGCTTGGGGGTCACTGTTCCAGAAAAAGAAGTTCCTTCTACAAAAATATCCCTAACACAACTCTGCTATTCTTAATGAGAACATCATTCTACTGGTTCTTTGACACATATTCCAGAGTACATTTTTTTTTTCCTCCAGGTTTTATCATTCTCTTCTTTCCTAAGACACATGAATTTGGAGGAACATGCGACATTAAACTCTAAGGCCAAATAAATGGGGGCTCTGTCCAAACAATTGCAGATGCAAGGAGGTTTGAAGGACACTGGTGTTGGGACTTTTGCTGTATTTTCAGTGTTTAAAGCATTACCAAAGTAACAACATAATGAAAATGATGGAATAGTACCACCTCAATTATAAATTAAGCAGAAACATAGCAGGAAGCACACTAACCTATGAAAACAAACACAAATTGCTATGCAGTACAGCATGTCTTAAGGTGATGCAGAAAACAACACAGAGAATCTTACATACTTTCCTATTTTTCTACAATGTGTATACAATTTACCTTGAAAACAAATCCTTCTGGACAGGTATGATCATACTTGTAAACCTTGTAGACTACCAGAAATACAACACACGTTAAGAATGCAAGGGCAAAAAGGACCAGCACAGTTACCTGTAAAGAAAAAACAAAACATGCTTATGTTAGTAAAGCACTGCTTATTATGTTGCTGTTTGCTACCGTAGGCAGAAGAAGCCAGCTATGAACGTTCTTTACAGTAAAATCTAGCAAAGGATAAAAAAAGGCTTCTAAATTATTGAGGGAGAACAGAGAGGCAGCATGTAAGTGCTTCTACCTCCCTCTTCTTGGGGAAGGCAGCAGACGATCTGGTCAGCAGGCCACTGCCTCTCTACTGCAAGGCTTTTTTGGCTGCATTTCCGCTCCATGCACACGAGGCCAGAGGACACACTGAGGTAGCTTGGGTCTGCTGCTTCTTCAGCACCTGGACGATGTAAGTCTAGTTTAAGTCAGCTGGTAAGCCTATTTCTTTTCCCTGTGCCCACCCAAGAATGGAGTCAGGTGACAGCAGGCGGGCGCAGGTGTCACGCAGGTAACAGGCGGGTGACTCCAGCAGGGCAAGGAGAAGGCAAGGGCTGCCTCTCTTGTCAGACTGAGCTTGCTGCTCCCGTGAGGAGCGTATGGGCAGTTACAGCAGTCGGTGCTCCTGCTGTGCAGGGGCTGCAGCTCACCGCAGGCACCTACGGGAGCACACCATGCTCACCACAGGGACACTGCCTGAAGGCCTCCAGGACTTCTGCTCCAGCTCCTGCCACGGTGCTCCCAGAGAACCCTCCACAGACTGCCTTATGTGGCACTGACTGTCCACCATGTCCTTAAGTACCTCTCTGGTCCTGAGCTGACACACCTTGATTCTGAAATCTGGGTCAGTATCAAGCTGATCTTTCCCAGGAATAGATTCTGAGCAGCTGAAGAACAGCAGCCTTTCAGGTGAGATAGATAGGAGGCTGAACCACCTCCAGAACTACCTCACCCACTGACAAGGGAAATCACGAGATTCTGGCCTGGCAGTTAACACTGCAAAGCTCCCTAATTCAGACCGTTTTTGTGGAAGGTATGAGCTGAGCAAGCAGCATTCATTACCTGGAGAGTGTTCCACATGTGTGGTTTTATTACTCTAAAGCTCCTACTGATAGACAGATGAGTAGCTCAAGGAGATTACAGGGTAGGAGTGGGTAAGCTTTATTTTTTGGCAAGTAGGAAAGAAGCCAGCATGTTCTACAGCATAAGAAACACTAATAAACAGAAACAGAAAAGATTATGTGATTACTTAATTAAAGCAAAGCATAATATAATATCATCTAAATTTTAAAGGAAGATGAGTAAGCCAGCTACGTACACCTCCTCAAAAGAGAACTTCTTAGGCATATCAGTGTCAACTGTGCAAAGAAGAATTATCTGGTATTTGAGAAAACAACAACCAAAAAAACGCTGTAGCATTGCCTCTTGGTAAAAACCCCACCACACACACACTCCCTTTGTGATAAACCCCAGGACTAACAGGATTTGTAAGACTGCAAACTGCATGTGGCAGTGGGACTAGTACGCTGAAGGGCTGAGGTGAACTTCTAGGGACTTCTCATGCTGGGGAAGCACTTCACCATAGGCATAGAACAGCAAGGGCTGAATTTCCTGGCTGAAACACCAGGGAGTATCATGTGCTGCTGAAGCCAAGCATTTTTTTAAGGAGTTTTGTTAGAAAATAGGCAAAAAAAGCTGGGCTGGAGGAGAGGGAGAGAGAACTGCCAACCAGAAAGTAATTTAGCAGAAGAAATGTAGATGTTAATGTAACAATGCCAGCAAAATGAGATGGGGGGCAAAGGAAGCAAAGGACCTTGCTGGCTAATAGCAACATCTTTGGTTTCTCCGGAGAGTCACTGGACTACAAAAAAAAACCCAACAAAACAACACCACCAACAAACTGTATTTATAATGGTCCTCCAAAACCCTCACTCTGACAAAAATTTTCAAATCCAGCCAGTCTTTCCTCAAGTTTATTACTCATTTGCATACACAAAGTTTAACACAGATATATCAGTCTGTCTTGCCAACCTCCTATCTTCTGCTGACCTGTCCCATGTCTCAGTAAGTCCTGCATGAATCCAGGAGATAAAAGACCTTTTCCTTCCTGGTCATGAACAACATAACGCCCCATTCCTGGCCAAGCTATGCCCTAGCTCAGCCCTTCTCATACGTTTTTGATCAGGCTGCTCCCTTTTTTCTGCTGTGTTGGGGCTGGGGCCTGTTCCTGTGCATCCTCACCCACCCCACCTACACATATGTACAAGGCCCATCACACTCTGGCTTGGCCCAAACCTTGCATTCCATCTTCCAGCATTTCCCCCTGCCCACAACTGTGACAAGCTTTATTCTCCCCTCAAAATTCTCCTTGCACTCCAGGCTTTAGAAAAACACCTTTCTCCTCTAAGCTTGCAGTTCCCACTTGCGGCACCTTCCTAACACCTTGCTGGTATCTCCAAGTCCCACACACAGCCTGTGTCACACTGCACCCATATGCAGATGCCCAGGGTCCAGCTGCCCCACCAGGCCAAAGGACACTAACTATGCCTGGATTCAACCCAGGTCCACAGCCCTGCCTGCCTGTAGGGCCATGGACCCAAGCTCCTCTTTGCCTGCTGAGCTCCACATGGAAAGGTGAGGAACCAGAAAGGAGGAAGCACTCCTCACCCAGCCCAGCAGCTCTGCAACATGCACATGGCCCAGTCCAAGCTGCAGGTTTTGGGTCATTCACCACCCCCTGACTCAAAGTGTATGTTACACCATCCCTTTTGCTCTGACAGTCACTGCTTTCTCCCTTAGAGAAGAAACAGGAAAGAGAGATAGAAAGTGGGGATAGAAAAGATAAAACCAAGATGGGATTATTGCTGAGGCTTTCCATGCCCTACAAGATACATCCCACAAGCCTTTGGCAAAAGTTGCTCTCTCTAGGAGCACAGGCCTGTGACACGGGACACGGACACCAAGCAGAACAATTGCTGTGGTATGGATTGATTCAGCTCACGTTTGTCTCCTCCACAAACAGATATAAACAGTATTAAATGCTGTGAAAAATAGTCTCAAATCTCAAATCATTTTAGCCACCTTCCCTGGCCATCCTACCAGGAGGGGATAGTAGCACTCTAACATTAGTTCCCTGTTGTAGCCATTCTGACAGACAGCTGAGACTTCAGGAACACGCTGCAAAGCTAACAAGCCGGTCTGTAGTTGAGACCAAACATTAAGAGAATAGAAAAGTATCTGTATTTCTACAATCACTGCAAGCTCACTCTCTCCAAGGCTCTGAAACTGTTTTGGAAGGTAATTATGCTTTTGGAAGAGGTCAAAAGCCCAGTGCTGCATGGACTGATGGAGCCTGGCAAGTTGCAGAGCCACCACCTCCGGGCTGATGTGCTGAGCCACGGAGCACTTGCCTGTTCCAGCGACCCACGTGGAGCTGTGACTTCCCACTGCTCCTGCAAGTCATGTCCAGCACGGCTCTCCCATGGCCACACAGAAAGCCCCTGGGAAGAGCTCTCAGGGTTCCTGGTTCATAATTCTCATGGAATCTTTCTCACTGACCATATTTCCTAATGTTATTAATTTTGGTAGTAACATCTACATTTTTACTCTCATTATCTCCAATAATTTGCAATCACACTCCACTTGCAAATCCTTAATCAAGTAACCTCTTATCTCCTTCCTATTAGAAGAGAAGCTCCGTTCTCTTACCATCCTTCAGGATATGAGCAACTTCTATTTAAGTAAAGGACAGCCACACATGCAAACAGTACAAATGGAAAGAAATCCACCACCACATTCCAAGGAGAATCCAATCACCTGTTAATCCAATCCACTCCTCCCTTATGAGCTAAAAATCCTTCTCTTCCTTCTAATAGCCATCTTCCTTCACTTTCATAATAACCTACCACTGATGGTCTGCAGCAGTCTGATCCCCAGGTCCACTTCTGAACCCCAGGCAGTCAGCTCCTCTTCCCTGCCAGTAACATAATGTGATCCTTCCTCTCTGCATCATCTTCTGAGCCCTCCTCCCAGATGCTTTTCAGAAACACAAGCATGGGAAGAGGGAAGGCTACAAGCTGCTCCCTAGACCACAAGTGCTGCCAACGCTGTCATTTTATTGCTTTCTTCCACACCAACTTTGCACACACACTACAAATTAAAGGAAAGTGTTCTTTTCTTCCTACCAAGGTGCCAGCAGCAATGTGCTCTTCCTCTGTTCAAGGTAAGAGAGGACACAATGCTCATGCATGCATCACTCCCTCTCCTCTGGAAGGCAACCCTGAATCTCTCCTCAAGTGCAGGGCCCCACACAGTGGGAGCAGAAGACCCTGAATTAGTATCATCATTCACTGCCATGTACATCTGCCTAATTCCAAGGTGACTGTCACACCACACAAATGATGGGGCTTTTAAAATACTTTTGATGAAGTCACTACAAGACAGCACAAACGACTGTTTCTTTTAACTAGGGACTCAAAGTGTGGGTTTGTTTTCATCTTGAGAATGTCCTTTAAAGTGGGTTTTAAGGGAATGTGGCAGTAATACTAAATGAACAGAAAAGATGACAAGATATTACATATGTGGCAGATTTTTGAATAGACTGTAAGTGAAGAGCAGAAGGAGGACAGTGTCTAGCCAGAAGCCATTACAGTAATCGAAAGGAGACAGGACGGATGAACGAAGTGTACCCACAGAAAGAAAAGCTGTCTGAAGACTCTCTAAGTGTTTAGCTGAACAAATGAAACTCAGCAGACCTGCCAGCTACACTAGCATGTACACAGCTCGTGATAAAGCCTCACCACTGAGATCTGCCCCATCTTCCCAGTCAGTCCATCCCACTTTGCTACGGCTGCAAAATGTTGCAAGCTGTATTTTCTGTGTATGGCTACTGCAGTCTCGTCCTTCCTCACTTTGCTAACATTTACTGTGCTCCCTTTTTAATCAAGCTCAAATATTACAGCAAAATTCATCGATTGCACAAACTGTGCCTGCTTCTCTTCGTGCCCTTTCCTGGCTCCTGTCCTTTTCTGAACAAGTTACACGCCTGCTCCAAGGCAGGCACAAGTCTGTCACTT